TAACTTTTCATGTTTCGTTAGTTTGGTAACTTCATTAGTTATGGACAACGTGTTTGCATATAGTCACGGTTCATTCAACTTTTGAACTTCTCCTATTTAGATACATACAATAGTCCATATATTTTTAACTTAGTGGAAAGGCTACTTGAACGTGCCAGTGTTGATTATTTTTTAACTCATTTCACTGTTATATTGGTTCTCTATGTAGTCGAAGAATTTTCCATTCTTGGTTGATACGTTTCTCCATGAAGTTATCTAGAATTGATGTGAAACTGAAGCTTTATTGTGTGACGGGCAAGCTTTAATTGACGTAAGGGTAAAGTTATCTCATTCGATTGGAATAAATTGTGAATGAATTTAATGAGTATGAGGAGTTTAAGCCATGAAGAGAATGGTGGAGTTGAGCTACTATTTTATTAAATCTCTCAATAGTTGATCGATTATTTTGTTCACAAGAAAGTCTACAATTGATGCAATTTATTTTTGCACTAAGCCATTGATTAGACGCTGATGGAGTTGAGTTACAGGAACCAATTTTTTTTTAAAGTAGTATTAGTTATTTTGGCAAAACTTTATAGTACCATATTTTCTAAAATCAACTTAGAGTTGAGATACTCTTTTGATTATATTTTCTAACTTCTTGCAAAGCGGAATTACTTTAAATCCGCTTTTTCCTTCTTTAGTATGAAAATTTTGATGATTTATGTCATTTATATTTACTGAAGCTTTCACCAAATGTGGTGACATACGAGAAGTGTGGAGCCTAGAATATTAGGGCCAGAGGTTTGATCTTCTACTTCCAGCTGTTGAATTACTATGTTTCGATGAATTGAGGATCTAAAAAAAAGGGTGATAGATTGGTTAGTAAGACTGCAAGAGGAAGCCAAAGGATTTGACTTACCAAGTTTCGGGAGCTAAACTGCTATAGCGCAGAAAAACTATAGAAGAGCAGTATAAGAATTGACAATCATGACTAATATAGAATGATCAATAGTCACCAATTTAATGTTATTGATGCACTTAAATTACTTTAAAATTTAAATTATATATTATTCTCTTTTCCTCTATATAAAATACTAATTTATACTGGACTGGGACTATCTCAACTAATTGAGAAGCGTATCTTCAATTAGAGGATGCACCTTTTCAATTGCGGTGATTAATTATGCTTCGGACGATGGAAACGGTAATGAATAAGTTGACGCAAAAATTTTTACTGTCCTTATTTTGTGAAGAAAATAAACTTCAATCACTCCAGAAGGAAATGTAAAACTGCTCTTGGTAATCTATATTGATTTTATTTTGGATTTCAGATAAGTTTTATCCTTGACCTTTACGTGAGTGCATAAATATTGGTGGTCTGCAGCATAGATACAATCCTATAAAATTCATATATTTATTTTTTGGTTTAATTTTTTTGAATGCGATCGCTAAATTTCGTCTGTAATATAGACATGTTTCTACAATATTATTTTTTCCCTTTGAAACTATCCGTGCATGCAGCGCATCGCGCGGATAGGTATACTAGTATTACTAAATAAGGCAAATAAAGTTGTCAAGCCACTACAAAGAAAAAACACCATTGAAAATAAACGTACTCCATGAAATTTATGAGGTATTGATTTTCTATCGTTCTAAGATAATAAAGTATAATTTACGCCAAATGTTGATACTTTCAGTTTTGTTTTCGGAAGTTGGCTTAACTGCCGTAAAAGAATTGCACCACAGTAGAACTTTTTTTCGATCTCAAGCAGTGTTGTATAATATAAACTCCCACAGCGTCATCTACAAGACGCCGTAAAAGGAATTGCAACAACAGTAACAGGACTTAATTCTCAATAATGCCAATTGCAATTTGGAAAGAAATATGTTTGTGAATAGAATTAGTGTACAGTAACTATGAATGGAGTAGGCAGTGATGGTCTAAGTTGTTTGCAGGAGTTAGACTTTTTTATATAAGTAGGGTACTTGATCTTGATGTGGAGATTGACTCCCATTAAGTGCAAATTGGCCGTAAATATTCAATAACCATTGCGCACAATTGGCTATAAAATAATTGTTAATCTTATTAGACTTCTTCATAAATTAAAAGGGCACAACTTTTCAAGAAAAGACACTTCAAAAATATTAGTTTATTTTTATTTATTTATTTCTAAGTAAATAATTAAATAATTTAGAAGGACATTTTGGTAATTCAACTTTTAGCTTCTGGGGTTCCCGCTTATAAAATACTAGTCTTAGGGTACGCGCTTTGCGCGTGTACTTATATCAAGGGGTACACAATTTGAAAAAATCACATAATGTGGTTGAGTTATAAAACAGAAGTTTAAAAATGGTAAATTCTTGAAAATAATGAATGTTAATCTCATTTAGCTAGCTCAATGAGAAAAGGCTCGCTCCACAAAAACCCTTAGATACCTTATTGTGATTTCAAAATTATTATTTTTTACCTAATATTAAAAACACGTAAATCACAAAAATACTTTTCAAATAAAATAAATTAAAAAGATAAATCTTTTGTTATTTTAGAGATTTGAAAATAAAGAGGTTGCCCTATATCATAGGAAAAATCCATAGGTAATGATGCTTAGTCCAAAAATGATTAATGTTGAGTTAATATTTTACCAAAATAATTTAATTTATAAAAAATATAGGGAGCTATCATGTGTTGAAACGAATGTGAATAGAAACAAAAGTTAATTACAAAATTAATTCAATTTAGAATTTGTCTACTGCTATTTTATCATTATTGATTCAAGTTTGTATTTTTATTAATTTGACTTTTAATACTTCAAAATAACTATTTTTCTTATTTTTGATATGGTCCATTATCACTGCTCTTTTTATAAAAATAAATTTATATAGGTTAAGAGTTTTCTCAACTGGAAAAATAAATTTACATTTATAATGAATTTGAAAAGAAATTGAATTGGCTGCTTTTAATTGCTAACTAGTCTTAGAGTACGCGCATTACGCGTGTTACCCTATCTCAATAAATATAATATTTAAAGAATTACATAAATTTTATATTATTATGGTTTGAGTTATAAAATAAAAGTAAAGTTAAAAATTGTAAGTTTCTAAAAATAATAATTGTTGATCCTATTTAGCTAACTAAAAAAAAGAAAGAAACTCTATCCCTTATAAGTTCTTAATCATCTCATTCAATTTACAGAAGACGTCTTCTATTTGCTCACGAGCAAAATGTAATTTGTTCTATTTCTTTAATATATTAGAAATACCATAAGAATTATTTTTAACATATTAAAAATATACAATACTACCACAAAAAGTAAATTCAACCGCTACATTTTAATTAATCTACTCTTTTTGTTTTTAACTTTCCATGTATAATATTATGTGTATAAATTTATTCAAGAGTATAATAGGATTTTGCAGTTGATGCTTATTACTATATTATAATCGATTTTGCATTAATTTTTATTCATTCCACCTCAAGTGCTATTCCTATACAAAAATCTAATTTTTGTATCTAAAAGTTTGTCAACTGAAAAAAAGGGTTTGCTTATATGATGAATTTGAAAAGAAATTGAATGGGATTTATTTTTTCAATTTTTTAATTCATAATTTTAATATTTATTCTTATTAAAAAAGTGATTTAATTTTTGTTGATTGAAATTAATAATATTAACTCATTACAAGTTTTAAATATTTGACTATAGTTATAATTTTATTTAGAATTATATTTTTCAAGCCTAAAAAATCAATCTAATATTTAACTTTGGATATTTGTATTTGCAAAGTTATTCATGTTTTTTAACTGTCAACATCCCAACGCCTAGGGGTGTGCATTCGATTTATCGATTCGATTTTGACCCTTATCGATAAATACTTATCGATTATTGATTTGTACATATGCTTATCGTTATCGTTTCAATAAGGTTTCGATTTTTTCGATTTCGGTTTATCAATTTTGGGGGCTTATCAATTCGATTATCGATTACACCAATAAGAAAATTTGCGGGATTCCACGGAAAGTATATCGCTATAAACGCGCCTAACTAATATGGACAAAAAGAAGCTAAAATAAGACGAACACCATTTATAATATAAAAATTGTGTCAACAAGCACATGCAACAAAACTAAAGTAAGGGATCAAATGTATGCCACCAACACTCCAACGGTATAAAAAAAACAAAACAAAACAAAACACATCATCACGGCTAATTCTGCTTTCCATTAATTTGAACTTCATTCCCTTGATCTTTAAATATGATCATTCCTTAAATGTGGTAGAGGAAATAATAGGGTAAGGGACTTAGGGTAAAGGAAAGGGTATAGATTAGGAAAAATAATATTGTATAGCCGCTTTCAAAATAGTAGCGGAATATATATACATTCTGTATGTTATATTAATCTACACAAATAGGTAATTACTCATTTAATAAGTGTCTACAGTCTAGGGGTGTGCATTCGATTTATCGATTCGATTTTGACCCTTATCGATAATTACTTATCGATTATCGATTTGTACATACGCTTATCGTTATCGTTCCAATAAGGTTTCGATTTTTTCGATTTCGATTTCAATAACAAATAATCGATTCGATTTATCGATAAACCGATTCGAATGCACACCCCTACCAACGCCTCTCTCTCTCTCTCTTTTATGTTTTTGTAGTTACTTGTTGAAATTATTGAGGTGTAATTTTTAAATATTATGAAACAATTCTAAATGTTGATTTTGTCCAATATAAACTCTATTTTAAAGGGGTAAAAAAGGCGAAAGACATTTCACTAAGGGCCTTCGTGCTTTTAATATAGTGTGTGTATATATATATATATATTATAAATTATAGATTATAGATTATGAGTAAGTTAGGTTCATTGTTATGAATGAATATTAACTGTTGGGATATTGAGTTGTTGAATGTTCAATTGGAAGAAGTCATTGAAATAGTAGGCTCATCAGAATCAGAATTATCCTTTGGTGGTAAATGTGCATCATTAGATCTGAAACTGAACGTACGCGTTATAATTGGAAAACAAGCTGAAAAGTGAAATACCCACATCAAAAAATAAAAGATCCTTGCAATTTAATTTCATTAAATGATATTAGGCCTAATAATATTCTTGATTACATTGAAGCACTCTGTGGCGTTGTCTCTTGTTCACGTACGAAGCAGAAGGGACCTCAAGATAGCTTCACCAATTAGACCAACATGCCACAAGGCATGTCCGCCATCAATAACTTCATGATAATGAATCCAAGGTAGCCTTTTGGAAACATATCTTTGTAAGCGACAAGGTACTATGTTGTCCTCATAACCTTGCCAAATATGAACTGAGCTTTCATTTTCATCAGGAAATGGATTACCAAATTCTAGTGGATCAAAATCCCACTTTCCATAAGCCAAGGTAAAGTCTTGGAGAAGAGACTCAAAATCGCTTTGCTTCGGATAAACTTTCTGCAAATTAATTAAGACAAATAATTTTCAAGATAATCATATTGTGAAAACTCATGTTTGATTTGAGAGAGGTGGATGATGAGCTTTACCGGGTCAAAAACTTCCGATCTGTTTGCAACTTCCCTGTCCTTTTTGCTTAACAATGCAGAATTGCCCGAGAAAACACTGTTCGATTTCTGTGTAAAAAATGAGTAGAGTAACCCAGGAGCATAGCGGGCGAGCCAAATTACTAATCGCCAAAGCTTGTTATTATGATCGTTCTTGATCAAATCATGAGGAAGGGAGTTCCATTTGTAGTTGATTATAGGAACAACAAAAGCCACGCCTGATAGCCTGTGTGGTATGCGTCTGAGGCAATTCCAGGCAGGATAGCTTCCAGCAGAAACTGAAATTAGATAGAATTTTGATCCTATTTGTAGTTGATCGGCTACTTCTTCTATATCACAAGCTTCACTTTCTAATGACCGTTTAGGATTTATATCACTTTCCCCATATCCAGCTCTATCAAACTGTAGCATATATATCCTCATCTCCTCTAGGATTTCCTAAAGAATATATATAGTTAGTAGATCAATATAATGGCTTTTCAGAACATTGTTTAGGAGCTAAAAGTGGACACTAACTAAGAGACAAATAAACTGTTATTGGATGTCCCTCTCTGAATATGAAATATCAAAACAACCATGTTACAATTAAAGAGCAAAAATGAGCATCAAACATACTTTAAATTCCTAGGAGACTAAGAGGATAATTCTTCAAGATTAGGAAAGTAAAATGTTGTATTACTAGTAAAGTTGAAAGGGTGTTAGCTAGTCATACTTGGGTTGCAAGAAAATCCTTATCTTTGGAGCTGTTAATCCCATGGACAAGGATGATTCTGTAAAGGGATTTGTCCATTGGGACTCCTCTTTCTCTGTATGCCAGGCATCTTCCATCCTTTAGTCTGATTCTTGGTGAAGAAACAACCCTCTGTAATTCCCTGCTATTCGATGGTGTTTGTTGAGAATCAGAAAACCCCACGAAACTTAACACCGAAACTGCAATTTTCTTGAAAAGCATCTCCAGAAGGGATATGAAAACTAATAGAAGCAAGCCAACAAGTTTCCTTAAATCCATTTCTTGGAAAGAAAAAGAAACGAAAGACAGAGGAAAACAATGGTGGGATTGATTTGGGCTGTGGTTTCTCTCTCTGAAAACAAGTTGCTATTTTATAAATAGTATTATGAGTGTCTATGATACAAAATTGCGATATCTATATTTATCCAAGGTGTGAGTGAGATGGTTGATATTATTTCACTCTAACTAGATGTCTCGAGTTCAAGTCCTAAGAATGGAAATTCTTTCAACAAGAAAAGCTTTACACTTTTAACGGGCCTATCCAGCGAGAATCCGAATTAACTGGCTCGGTGAGTTTTTTTCCAAAAAAAAAAAAAAAGAAAGAAAAATCGGTTCTGTACAGTGCCGCAACTCATAAGCCAGAGTCTCCATTTTGTATGCTTACATGTGAGAATGGTGTTCATCAGTCTTTTATCTGCAATATCTCTAGCTGTATTCTTTCGATAACTTCCTCAAGTCGTCGTGGAATAAAATACCGTACGTCTCTGGACGTTTTAGAAAGAAGACGAGAGTCTCTCTGTTTTACCCCCAAAATAAGTGATTTTGGTTCCTACAGTGAAAAATGATTTTTTCACGCTCATGTGACGTCCAGATACTGCAGAAAAGAGCAGCAAAATCTAATCCATATTACCGTAATAAGATAATAAAGAAACATACTGTCAGTTGTACATCTAACGATATGTGAAATAACTCCAATAGAACAGTAATTTTTTGTTTTCTGTCAGACCTCCCTGCATATATCTCATAAAAATTACTGCTAGTACAAACTAATATGTTATAACAGATTTATACAACACTAATATTGTAAAGATGACGTGCCATAGTAGTGGGAGAAGATAGAGACTTTTAATAATAAGTCTTAAGAATTTTTCAATCTGTCCAGCCATACGCTAGCTGTCATCCTCCTTTTTTTATCGCACTAAAATAAACTCCTACATTAGTGATCAGAGTGCAACTAAATGTCATATAGTTGAACATGTCATATAGGCGTTTCCAGTTACATTTAGTCCCTTGCAGTCTTGTTCAAACACTTTGATTACAAACAGAAAGGGGACGTGGGAGTCGTAATAAAGAAACATTTAATTCTACTCTTCCTACTTTCCTTTCTTCAATATCTGTTAATCATCCTACCCTTCTTCCTTTGATACCCACACGTAGCAAGTCTCAGTCTCAAGTACATATATACTGGTAAAATTTTGATGACAAACACAAGTACTGGAATAATGGAAAGCTGGTTCATCATTATGGTCACATTCTGTATCTCTTTCTTCCTCATACTTCTCTTTAATCTTTTCTTCCAGAAAACAAAGAAACTCCCACCGGGTCCCTTTATCTTCCCAGTGATTGGGATGTTACCATTGCTAAGAAAAACCAGTCGCGATCTCGAACTCATGCTTCGAGATTTCAAACGCAAATATGGTCCTATCATCGCCATTAAAATAGGCTATTCATCTCCATCCATAGTCATCAGCAGCCACTTGTTAGCCCACCAGGCTTTAGTTCAGCAAGGTGCCATTTGCTCCGATCGGCCAATTGCTTCAACGACCAGTAAAATTTTCAACTCTAACCAGCGGACAATAACATCCAGCTCTTATGGTCCCACGTGGCGGCTCCTTCGTCGAAACCTCATCTCAGAAATGCTCCATCCCTCTCACATCATCAAGTCCCACTCCAAGAACCGAGCTTGGGTACTAGGCATACTCATTCAAAAGCTCCTTCTTGCTCATGAATCAGCCGCAGCTGATTCTGCCACGGAAGCGATCATGTTACTTGATCATTTTAAGTATGCTATCTTCTGTCTCCTTGTCCTCATCTGCTTTGGGAATAAGCTCGATGAGTTTCAAATACGGCAAATTAAAGACGCGCAACATCGAGCACTTAAAAGTTTTCACCGTTTCAGAATACTAGATTACTTTCCTGAATTTTTAGGAAAAACAATATTTAGAAAACGCTGGAAACAGCTCATTGAACTACGAAAAGAGTTGGACGAGGTCTTCATCCCTCTGATCCAAGATCGGGTGAAATACAAATTAGAAGCAGTGGGAGCGCCTAAACCTGGAATTGATCATCGTCACAAAGAAGAGGAGCTGGAAGCCGATATTGCTTATGTTGATACGCTGGTGAATTTGGAATTGCCAGAAGAAAAGCGGAAGCTCAATTACCAAGAAATGGCCAGCCTCTGCGGCGAGTTCCTTGCTGCTGCCAGCGATACGACATCCACCGCCTTACAGTGGATTATGGCATGCTTGGTAAAGTACCCTTCCATTCAGGAAAAACTGTATAAAGAAATATGCCAAGTTGTGGAATCAACACCATTATTACAATCAATTAAGAACAATAAGGTGATAGAGGAGGCAGTGAAGGAGGATGATTTACAGAAAATGCCATACTTGAAAGCAGTGATTTTGGAAGGTCTTAGGCGACATCCACCAGCTCACTTTGTTCTGCCACATAGGGTGACAGAGGATATGGAATTGAACGGCTATGTTATACCCAAGAATGCTACCATCAACTTTATGGTGGGGGAAATGGGCTTGGACCCAAATGTGTGGGATGATCCAATGGAATTCAAGCCAGAGAGATTCTTGGTGGATGGAGATGGAACTCTTCAAGAGTTTGATATAACGGGGAGCCGAGAGATCAAGATGATGCCATTTGGTGCAGGGAGGAGAATATGCCCAGGATATGGCTCTGCTATGCTCCATTTACAGTACTTTGTGGCTAATTTGATTTGGCAATTTGAATGGAAGCCTGTTGAGGGAGATAAAGTTGATCTAACAGAAGGGTCAGATTTCACCGTTACAATGAAGAATCCATTGCGAGCTCGCATCAGTCCCAGGTGTTGTATGGGGAGCTTATAGAAACCACAAGTACCATTCAGTTTAATTTCATAATTCGGTAACCAAATGAAAGGGTGCTTTGGCTAATGATGTTTCTATACAGCACCATTTTGTTTCATACTATTATGAAGATGTCTTTTTGGTGTTTCAACATCTTTGTGTCTTTGGATTGAACAACGAATTAAATAACTGCCCGTAAGTTATGGTTATAGTAACCAAATGCTAGTATTAGCTATGTACAAAATAACTAGAGATGTATGTACAATTTCAAAGTATGGGAGTGTAAAAAAAGAATTAAAACAAGGAATGTGGTTTCATGTAAATATACATCAACGCCACCAAACAACACAAGTTCTTTATTTTTCACTCTTCTGCTTCTTCTCAGTAAAACGAGGACAAAGCACAAGAGGTAGAGTCTTAAAAGCAGCGGAAAAGGGGGTTATAACAAAATGCAAGTTGAGATTTGATTCTGGATTGATGTGATATACATACTCAACAAAGTCAAATCTTTTGGATATGTATATCCCATAAACCAGCATTTTCCAACCTAAATGAAAAGATCAGCACGCACCTAACTTGAAATATTTTCATACTTATGCTAATGATGATCTTCATACACTACACCCGTGCTTATTGCATATTGCCTCGAGGACCAAATTCATTGGATGTCCTATGACCAGGAACTTTATCTCTTAGACATTTTATCAAACAGCTATTCATGCACTGTGAGAATCTTCACAAAGTTATAACACAAAGAAAATCGCGCTCGAGATTTCAAGAGCTTAATCAAGCAAAGAGGATCAATCAAAACTGGTAATTGTAAAAACAGAATAATGCACATGAATCGTCTAACGAGTTTTGTCAAAATAAAAATAGTAAATAAAACTTAAAGTTTTGACAAAAATAGAATTACCGAGCAGGAGGGGTGTTATTAAAGCCACAAAATAGAAATTACCGAGTTCATTACTCATTACAATGCTAGTCGGCTGCTGGGAATCAAAGGACGAAGAAGAGAGGTTGCATTTGGGTAGGGTGTTATTGTTGTTTTGGTGAAAATTGTGGGGAAGACTTAACCCAACAAAAACGGGAGGAAGAGAATAGAAAGGAAAAAGAAATGATAGGAGGCCTATTTCTGGGAGCGTAAGTTTTTTATTTTATCTTTTCCCTTACAAACGAAATAAGATCGCCGCAAAAGAGCTTTTTCTTGGCGACTTCTTATGGTTCGCCGTTAAATATTTACTTTCTGTGTCCAATATGAGAGTCGCCACATCAATTTCTGTGGGACTAAATGTGTCACAGAAAACCATGTTTCTTGTAGTGAATTCCTGTTTACATGAAACCATTGAAAAAGTGAAGCCTTGTTACAGCAGTAAATGAAAGGCTCCTCCGCTCTATTAAAGAAACACCAACCTCTCCAAATTCTTAACTTAAGTTCAAGGAGAGAGGACTCTTTATGCAGTGGCTGATAAGGCATACTTCCCTTCTCTGTGCCTTCCCCGTTCTCTGCCTCATTGTTTTGCTGGCTTCACTTTCATCTCTTTTCTTTATTGCAATGTTACTGATATGTGCAATAATTCGTCTGTTAATCATGATTTATGGATAATAATTGAGCCTCACTTTAATTAGCGTAGAAATGACACCAGGTATCCACTTTAATGGTATGTTATTTAGGAATTAGCTAGTACGTCTTGAAATTTCAATTTTTCAGGACAACAATGTTCTTAAATTGTCCGGACAAAATAAGTATTGGCTAATCTCTAAATAGCATTCCTGAGAATGACTATCTGTGCACTTGTCCCACTATATCTCAACCCCGGCCCTATCCAATCTCAAGTTGGATATTACTAACGGGGTAAAGGAGGATAAATTGTATTTTAACTGATTATAATAAAGTATCTATTTATGCTTTAAATTACTAATTAGGCCTACAATTATACTTTGGAGCACTTGCTATTGTAGGTTATCTTATTCCGGTCTTGTAAAAAAATAAAAAAAAACTATAAGTTGAAACTTTGAACAATGCAAATTTATAGAACACTCAACAGCTAGCACACAACTAAAGGAGCATATTTCTTTCATCAAAAATCAAAACAATACGTGGAGAAAAAGCAAATTTTACATTTTTGACGATGAAGCAAGTTAATATCTAGTGACATGAGCAATGAAGGAATCCATCTCCTTTTGATGATCTCCACCATCTTTAACTGATTCTTTGACTTGTTTACCTAATTCCATGGCACGTATTCTCATCTCATGTCCTTCTGTAGAAGCCATCAATCTTTCAACAGCGTTTTTGTTTATAATTGAATCAATCATATCATCAGGGGCATCCCAATGCTTCACGACTGACTCCAATTTTAAGCACTTCAGTAACAAACACAGCATTTTTGGGCTGGTCAAAACGCATAGGCCATGTCGCTATAGGCACTCCCATGGTAATACTTTCCATGCATGAATTCCACCCACAATGACTCATAAATCCGCCAATTGATGAATGTGCCAAAATTTCTAATTGGGGTGCCCAATCTTTTACAATAATTCTTCTTTCTTTTACTCTCTCTTCATACCCTTCAGGGATTCTGACTTCCCCTTCTCCTCCTGACAATAAATCTCTAACTACCCAAATAAACTTCTGCTTACTTTTTTCCAATCCTATAGCAAGTTCTTTGATTTGTTCCATAGATAAGTATCCTGTTGTTCCAAAAGAAACAAGAATCACTGAATTTTGGACTTGCTTGTCAAGCCACTCTAAGCATTTGTGACGAACTTTTGAGTCGTTTTCCCCTGATATAGTCACCGGATTGAAGGGACCAACAGCCCATTGCTTACGAATTCCGAGTAACCTACTGAACTTTGCTAGTGTTTCAAGATAAGGACCCTCGAGAACTTTGCAAGTATCGTATAAGTTCCCAGAGCTGAATTTATTACAACTATGTTGTAATCGCATAAATTCAATAAACTCAGGTGTGAAAGTACTTCTGAGAGTTGGAAGTCCATCTGGAATGTGAGCACCAGATAGGAGAAAAAGTTTCTTAGCCAATTTCTAAAGGAATGAAGGAAGATGGAGATATTATTTGATGATATCCCATAAGAGAGAGCTATTGGCAAAAGCAGAAATAGCATGAAAACAATAGGCTTCAGCTTTTTTCATAGACACTACGTCTTGAACAGTGGAAGCCATCATAGAATCATAAATGACAATAACTCTTGGACTTGTGCTGGAAAGCTTCTTTATAAATGCACTCACAGGCTCGCGCAATGTAAAAAATGCATCCAGTACGGATGCTATGAGTTTCGAGATAGTTTTAGAAGAATTATTTGAACAATCAGGAGGGGCCGGCGCCATATAAGAAGATGGGGTTGGGAATTCTTGGAAATGGATGTAGTTAGTAGCAGTGGCTAAATCCCAACCATGTAATCGAGCCTTAACTTGGCTAATTTCTGTATTAAAACCAACATAATGAATTGGAATGTGGTATGAAGAAACGAGGCGAGAGAGATGAAGGAATTGATTGAAGTGTCCTTGAACAGGAAAAGGAACCATAACCATAGTGATTTGATCCTTCTCCATGCCAGTTTGACCGTGGTTTCCAGAAGAAGGAATAACAAGGGACGCCATTGCAAGTTCTTTAGATGCACTTCTTCTTGTTTTAGCTGTTCTTTTTTACCAGAAAATCATACGCCTGAATAACAAGAAAGCCCGGTTGTATATGTGATATATATCATATATAGAAGACAGAAAATTAAAAGAAAAAAAAAAAAAAAACTAACAAGACAATTGTGAATAGCATGTGAGGAATGTTCACTATATAAGCAAGAAAAACATATTTGAGTACTGAGCCAAGAATTATGTAAAAGTCCGAACAGGTGGCAATCGTGTCCATAAAATTATTGTACTGTACAATGGAAGGCTATAGAGAAACGGATTAAGAAAGATTTATTGTTTATCATGTTCTCTAAAATGTTATTTAGCTCCATTTTTGTAACAACCCGGCCGGTCCTTTTGAGCGTTGTAGCCGCGTTCCCCCATTTACTGCTCATTTATGCTTATTAGTTGCTATGTGACTTGCCGGGGTAATTGGTACGATTCTGGGGATGTTTCAGAATGAATTTAATCATTTAGTCTTAAGGCTGGAAGCTTAAGTTGAAAAGGTTGATCGGATGTTGACTTATGTGTAAATGACTCCGGAATAGAATTTTGATGGTTCCGTTAACTCCGTTGGGTAATTTTAGACTTAGGAGTGTGTCCGGATAATAATTTGGAGGTCCGTAGTTGATTTAGGCTTGAAATAACGAAAGTTGGAAAATTAGAAGTTTTGGAAATTGAGAAGTTTGACCGAGAATTGACTTTGTGGTTACCGGGCTCGGATTTTGGTTCGGGGAGTTGGAGTAGGTCCATTGTAACATTTATGACTTGCGTGCAAAATTTGAGGTCAATCGGACTTGATTTGATAGGTTTCAGCATCGATTGTAGAAGTTGGAATTCCTTAGTTTTCATTAGGCTTGAATTGAGGCGCGATTCGTGTTTTTGATATTGTTTGATATGATTTTAGGGCTCGACTAAGTTCGTATCATATTTTAGGACTTGTTGGTATGTTTTGTTGAGGTCCCGGGGGCCTAGGGTGGAGTTCGGATGGTTAACAGATCAAAGTTTGGAATTGAAGGACTGCTGAAGTGCACCAGGTCTGGTGCAATCGCACCTGCGGAGTTTTGGTCGCAGGTGCGTGACCGCAGAAGTGAAGGGGTTGATCACAGATGCAGTTTGGGAGAAGCTAGGCAATGGTTGCAGGTTCGAGGCTTTGTCCGCACTTGCGTGGTCACAGATGCGGAGAGGGGTCGTAGGTGCAAGGTCTTGAAAGGGAGCCTGGGACACCTGCGCGGAATGTAATCCGAAGGTGCATCTGCGCATCTGCGCATGGGCGATCGCAGATGCGGAAGTGGACTGGATTCTTTGGATCGCGGAAGCGATGGGATATCTGCAAAAGCAGAACCACAGGTGCGGTCAAATCGAGCGTAAGTGCGAAAGCACTGGCAGTGTTTAAATTAGAAGGGATCCGAGATTTTATTATTTTTGAACATTTCAAGTTCGGTCTAAGGCTATTTTTTGAGAGGGATTTTGATCACGCCCAACTCTAGTCCTAAAAAGGATAAACGGTTGCTGCAAATATAATCCGGTCTAAAAGTCCGAAGTCGAATCCCACAGAGAACTAATGTTTCACTATAACTGTTCAATATCACCAAGAGGACAAGCTCGAATAACTTTTAAGTTATAAAGATTAAGATTCTTATATCTAACTAATTAACTAAGAAACTAAAGCAGTAAATTAACAACTAAAGATACTAAGGGTTGGAGATTAAATTTAGGATGTCTAAAGTTATGATTTCCCCAAATGTTGGAATTCTTCCCGCTATGTTCCCTACAATTTCGCATATGTATTCTCTACTGATCGTGAGCACTTTGGGTGCCGTAATTCTCTCTCGAGCAACTACAACAATTTACTAGACATATTCTCTCGAACTACGCTAGTTGGCTTTATCTAACCGCTCATTATGACCACGTCAAGGCTTTGTTATTTCTAAACCCACCTTTAAACCCACTGTATTGATTTCTCACATACGTTAGGAGTGACGCTGTTCAACAACTAACTAAATATGTACTCTCTCTCGAGCAGTACACACTAAATAGGCACAGTCAATTGATGGCCATTCAATCAACAACAACAAACACGTAGTTGAACAAGTAGAGAAATCCAACGACTTAATTATATAAAAATATAACAAGAATTCATCCTACAAAAGGTTCCATCAAAACCCTATATAACAAATTAGCTATTCATAATAGTATGCATGACTACAATACTAGAATTCATAACCAATAATGAAAATAGGAAGAAGGAAGTGAAAAACTCGTAGAAGAATTCTCCGCCTTGCTCCCAGTGTGTTCTTGCCTCCTTAGGTCGAATCCCCGGTCTCCTTAGCCTCCTTAGGTCTAAATTATGTCAAAGGTATGTCAAAATACCATTTTCCATGTATATATGCCAAGTAGGGTTGGGCCCAAACAATTACACCTTCTCCTATGCGTAAAAGGACACTTTTCCCGGACAGGACGTCCGAGGCCGCGGATTCGACTGCGGACCTAACCGTGGATTCGACCGCGGACCTGATCGCGGACTGTTTGGGATTTGGAAAGACGTAAAACATAAAAGTTGTAGCCCTTTGAATTAGCTTTCCAACCATATATTGTGGAGCCCAAATGGAGTTCTGAGCGAAAAGTTATGTGCATTTTACTAAACAGTGTGCAATATGCCTACTCTATTCTTTGTTTCATTGCTCTATCATCCGTTGATCCCCGAACACAATTCCGGCTTAATTCCTTGGGGTTTTACTCGGACTTCAAAGCTATACATCACTTGAATTCATTCCATAACATCTACATAGCTCGGAATCACTCCTACAAGGCATAAAATACATAATTAGTGCAAAACACTAGCGATTAAAGCGCAAACTCAACTAAAGTGCAGTAAATTAGAGTGTAATAATCGACTAAAATACGTAATTATAGCCTATTATCAAAACACCACACTTAAATCCTTGCTCTTCCTCGAGCAATCAAACTACACTTCATATAGACACGACCTTTTTAAAAATTCTCCTAACTCATCACACCAAGAATATTTAAAATAGACAAAGTACAAAAGTGTAACATCTTCACCTCAAGATTTGACTCACAAGTACCACGCATTATTCACAACTCACCCACATACTCTAACATAGAGTTCAAGGATTACCTTTCCTTCATGAATCACGTGCCCTCACACAAAAAAAAAAGATCAGTTCCACACAATAAAATTTAAGAACACTAAGGAACTCAAGATAGAAAGAATTGACTCACTCTCAGAAATAACATTCATATGCCACAAAAGATGCACCATAGGCTCACTCGTAGTTTACTACTCTACTAATCGAGCTCATTCAGTCTAGGATCAAGTAGGACTTTATTTGCTTGTAATGTAGGCTGCGGGACGGGTAGGATACATTTAGATGAGTGACTACACCTCCCTAAGCACTTTAATACATATTCAAACCCCATACTTATGTCAAACCAAACTCCACCTTCACATCAATGTATATTACCCCATACTTCATTAAGCACAATTAATCAAGAGTCACCACTTCTCAAGGAATATTTTTTTCACAACAATCCAACTATTTTTTTCTTTATTTTTTCAATTCAAGTGGCTCTTACTTTTTCAAAACAGTGTACCTTTCCCATGATTTCATTAGTTCCACGCAAAAGTCAAACCAATGTCGCGCCCCTTTTTTCATTTCCTCGCTGAGGGAATCGGGTTCATGACATTTTGGTTGGGACAACTCTTTCCTTTTGGGAAAAGGGGTTTGCATTTTTGAAGAGTCGCCACCTAGCGATTTTAAGGTGCGTTAGGGCACCTATATAGTTCATTTCTAACTATGTTTGATAACCAGAGATAGGGTGAGGGCTTGAAATTATCCTAAGGGGAAGGTGTTAGGCACCCCTCAGGATCCACTAGTGTGGTTCCCGGCCAGACAGTTTTTGTGAATTTGTACAGTTAGCAAATAAGCAAGTATGCATCAAATAGTAGGGGGTTTAAGTTTAAACACAAAAATATTTGAAAGACAATGAGATTTTGAAAAGGATTATAATCTAAGCATGTTCATGTATGTAAAGAGGGGTGTCCTAGGTTTGTTTGTAATATGGATCACATCAGTACAATGCCCGGTAATCACTCCTTAGGAAAGGGGCTACGTGTGGCATTAGCCCACCAGTCATCATATCCATATCTACCCTTTCCCGCCCCGTGAAGGTAATTAAAGCGAAGGTTGGTCTCAACCCCTATCGCATGCTGTTACCCGTCCCTTCCTATCAGTACCGGAGGAATTTAGGACTCCTATCCTATAAGAAGGAGGTTCTAGGCAGACCCTCAGGTTTAAAGGCAAAATACTAAGGCGACATACGATAACAAGTAGGACTTCAATTAAGGGGAGCATGGAAGACAAACGAAAGGCTCAAATATACCTCCACAGGTAATACACATGGACAGCATGACTCATACACAATTAAAGTCTGAATTTAAATCCTATGCCTGGTATCTAAGTGATAACAGCAGAACCAGATCTATGACATGACTCAGAAAAGAAGTCCGAATCAGGCTTGCCTACTGATTTTAACAGTTGATAATTAGACACTAATCACATAGATGATTCTGGTTTTATTTAAAGTTTATTACCTAAGGCTGCAGCAGTTATTCAGAATTATTAAAATAGTGTGGAAATTATTTTACCCTAAAAACATGTTGTTCTAGTTGATACGAATGCAGAGATTATTACCAGCTTTATTCAGAAAAACACCACAATGTGAGACTATTTCTTTATTACCTTTTCATGAATCAGTAATTAACTAAGCATCAAAGTGCAAACAAGATCCTAGAACATGATATCTAATATGCACATGCACATGGTAGGATTGTTAAAAAACAGAATCCCTTAGGCATGATTTCTAAATGCGCACAAGAGTTGCAGAATTATTGAAATGTGACTTCTGAAAGTACGAGAGTAACAGCTTTTATGCCAATGTTGTTATTG